CCCTTAGTTTTTTATAGTTTCCCCATGTGGTAGATACTGTTCTTATCTTCATTGTAAAGACTAGAAAACTGAACATTGGAAAGTGATAATTCGCTTCTCAAATTCTAGACTCTTCTACATTTGGTTCAAAAGAACTATTCCATAGCTCTACCTAACAGCTTTATGAAGAAAGTTATAATATTATGCTTCAATGGCCTTAAGGAAAAAGTGAGTTGCTGGAAAGAAGAAATATTGCTAATATTGATGGTACCTTAGAATTCTCACAGCTGTTATGAATTCTCTCATATCAAATTTTGTTTTGGCCCCAATGCCAAAGTAGTCCAGATCGAATGACTGCCTCTTCTTCAGAGTCATCCCAAATTTCACACATTGTTATTGCATTGTGGCGATTCATGCATTTGCTATTTTTTTTCTCTGTAAGAACCTTTGAAAAGGGCATCTCATAAACAAAACTTTTTTTTTTTAATATCTTTTTATTTTCCACAAAATTTGTCTACCATGAAGATGGCTGACTGATGTTTTTGAACTTCAGGACACAAAAACCTGAAAGAAACTCTAAAAGATCAGGTTGTTAAACTTGTAAACAGGAGCTACTGTAAATAAGAAGAGTTGTAAACAAATGCTTCTTCATGTAAAAAAAGATTGGGGGAGACTTTACTTAGCTTTCCATCTGAATAAAAAGCATAAATGCCTACTTTATTTATTTCTAACATTGGTTTATTGCTAGAAATATTCTCTCTGCCATTGTTCCTAATATCTTACCACGTTTCTTCGGTGATATGATTTCCTTACCAAGGGCAAAGAGTGTACTGAATCACACAGACAGGGCTGATATAGCTTTAGTGGTGCATTCCTAAAATACACCTCTAACATTATTACCAAGTCTTTTATTTCAGAAAGCCGTCATGAGGATCACATGAAATAACTTATATGAATTGCTATGGAAATCATAAATTCCTTTTTATTTTTCAAAGGTACTTACTACTATTATCACTATCCTAAAAATCACACTGTAAGTGTAATATTTTTTTCTATGAGGATAGTAAAACAAGCAATGAAGAAATTAAGTCAAATGGTCGAAGAACATAAAATCATATTTAATGACTTCCAGGTCCATAATGATCTTTTTAAAAAAAATTTTCATGTTCAGTTGCTTATTTTTTCCATGAATGAGACAGAAACAGAGTGAGACAGAGACACAGGGAGGGAAACAGAGACAGTGAGAGAAACAGCACTCCCAAAAGGGTCCTGACTATGCCACAGTCTACCCCTAGCCTCAGCCAACCCCAGAGGATGAGCACATGCGCATCAGGCAAGCCCAGGAAGGTGTCTAGATGCAAAGTTATGACCTTCCCATGTGGGTCAGCTTCACAGACCACAGCGTTTTACTGCTGCGCCAATGTCTGGCTCCTCCTATAATTGATACTAAGAGAAAGCAAGAAAACTGTGTACTGATACATAAACGCATTAGGAATTGTGCACAAAATAGAATTTCTTGTTTTCAGAATTTTCTTGACCACATGAATGTACTGAATAAAGTGAATTGTCCACATTCTGTATCATCAACCATTTTTAAATGTAAATCAACCTATCTCTAGCCATTAGTGCTTCCCCTCTGCATCATTCAGCTTTGCCTTTTTAGTACAAACATAGAATAGGTGTGTTTAGTAATTTAATAATTCACAGTCCTTAGAGTTATCTGGTAAGCTCTAAGTTTCTCTACAGAATGGATAGAGATGAAACCAGTTCTGACAAATAGCATAAAAGAGGTGGTCCAGAAAGATAGGATTCAGTAAAGCTTTGAGCTCCCTGTGGAGGACAGCAACAACAGCAAGAAAAGTAGCATGAGCAGTTTGCTAAATTCTTTAAGTCATGATTAATTATGACCCTTAGTTTTTTATAGTTTCCCCATGTGGTAGATACTGTTCTTATCTTCATTGTAAAGACTAGAAATCTGAGCCTTGGAAAGTTTTGATGACTTGCTTAAGCTCACCCAGGAGTAAGCCCAGTCTACGTTAATTCAGAGTCTGTGAGTATGCATTTCTAAATAGGTACTAAATGTCCTTTATTTTTATAGATGCCTGTTCAAATATCAAGTTACTGAACATTATCCTCACACTTTATTCCTTTTGTTGTTAACTGATAAATTAAGATATGAAAACATATACTATATTGACAAGAACAAACAAAAATGAGTCACTTCACAGTGGAAAACCATGACACGCACACACAAAAGCAACAAAGTTGTTTAGGGGAATTCATTCCTTACTTTCATGGTTTAAAACTATAAAAGCTTTATAGTTTCAAACTGCATTAAATCTATGATTGCATTGACTCGGCAAGTTGAGTTTATTCGAGTGCAATTTCTTCTTACACTTAAATCAGTCCAGTTTTATAATTCGCTTCTCAAATTCTAGACTCTTCTACATTTGGTTCAAAAGAACTATTCCATAGCTCTACCTAACAGCTTTATGAAGAAAGTTATAATATTATGCTTCAATGGCCTTAAGGAAAAAGTGAGTTGCTGGAAAGAAGAAATATTGCTAATATTGATGGTACCTTAGAATTCTCACAGCTGTTATGAATTCTCTCATATCAAATTTTGTTTTGGCCCCAATGCCAAAGTAGGCACTTTTATTTTATATACACCTACATTCACAATTGCCAACTACCACACTCATATATTTCTTATAAATGGTTAGCCAAAACAGTGATGGGTTAAAAACATTTATTTTTAATAAGGGCTTAACATTTCAGAGAGGATGAAAAACTGGAAAGCATGCAATCGACATATTTTTTTAAAATGTATATAATTTGATGAAGTGATTTTAAAAATGATAGACAACATTATAGACATTCGACTAGGTTGTGAAATGAGCAAATGACTGACATAAAGAATGCTAAAGATGAGGAGGAACCAATTGTAGAGTTGTATACGAGATACAAGAATAAACTTGCTGATTCTATAGGCTATTAAATGCCATGATAGGTTATGTGGAAATCCGGAGCAGAAAGGGGAATAGACAGAGTATTGAAACCTATGAACAGCAGGTATCTAGTAGGATAACCACCTGCCTTGCCTTCCTTGAGACTAAAGGATATAGAATGTAGAATTTTTAGTGCTAAAATTGAGATAATCCCTGATCTACTACAAGGTAGCCTCTTTAGGAGGGACAGGTCTGGGATTGAGAATGTTGAACCTAGAATTTAGAAACTTTCTAAACTATCCAGATCTGTTACAAATAACTTAATTGGGTTACTTAATTTCTTCCTCCAGTTAAAAGAGAGAGCAGAGGGGAACCAGCAGTTGGTATAATGGCTATGTCACTGGACTTCCATGTAGCTGATCATGGTTCGAGTCCTGGACCTGGTGGCTTAAACTTACATTGGGTGCATGTGTGCCCAACATCCTGAAAGGAGAATGGAGGAGAAGGGATTGTGGTATGGCCATCCCCCCTGGGGAGTGATTTCTCACTTTCTGTCTCTCTCTGTCTTTCTGGCAAGCACATGCTCCCCAGCTATAGCAAAAACCACTCCAAAAAAAGGAGGGGGGGGCAGAGGGCAAAATAATCTATATGATCTTTTCCAAATTTAGAAAATTCTCTGATCTTAGATGTAAAAAGTCATTGGACGAGGTCAACCAATTAAAAAGAAAGAGAGAGCATACAATCCCATCAATGATTAATCCAATCTTTGTAAATGGAGAAAAAACAAAAATGAAAACAAAGCAAATGAAATTCTAAAAATATCAAGAGCTGAATTTTTGATTTAAGAATACTTTAATACCATTCAGTAAGGTTTCATTTTAATTGAGTCATAAGAACATACTTAAAACAAATAAATTAAGTAAATGCTACTTACATTTAAATCGAGAAACCTGCCTGCATGGTCTGTTTTACTTTGAAAGAAATAACTTTGAGGATAATTTAGTACAGGTAACTTAAAGGCTGAGAAAAGACAGGATATAAGCTATTCTTCATTCTCTAATTTCACTATACTTACAGGAAAAAGAAATATGTAGCATCATTTATTATTTAACAAGTTTGTATAAAGATACAAATTTAAATGTTTTATGTAATATCATTTTTAAAGATTTATTTAATTTTATTTATTCATCTATTTATTTTAATTTGATCAGAGAGAGACAGAGAGAGAGAGAGGGAAAGTGAGAAAGCAAGCCATCAGGTCTGGGACAGAAACCACAGTCAGCCATGTGGTAGTGTCCAGCACCTTAACCACCAGGCCACCTGCTGTTCCCCATGTTCTACGTATTATTATTGATAATATGTCACATTATTATTACTAATATACTTATTTATTTTTATTACCTTATTAATAAAAAGAATAAGAAATTATTTGAGATTTGGACATTATTCCCCATATGCAATATAGGAGTACACATGAGCTTTCCCGTTAAAAACAATAAAAAGTACTTCCATCAAATCACAAACAGTTCCTGTTCAATTTTGCCTTTCCTAGACCACAGTGTTTAATAGGTTTTCTGGCAGTAGGCACTAAACACATTTAAGAGGCATTTAATGTGAAGCATTTGTTTACCTGTGGATTCATTATTAATGAAAAGCCAGGCAATGTACAGTTTGAATCAGGCAGACATTAAGTGGATCAGTCACTTGTATTATTAAAATGTACCCTGGAGGAATGGGGATTATTCTCCACATTCATTTATTCCTAATATAAGGAGTCCCCTCCCCCCATATCATTGCTAAGAAGAAAGTCTGCTCTTCCCACTGACCTTTCTAAATGTACACAAGTGTCTTGGTCAACCCATGCGCCCAGTCCCTACCATGAGAAGGGAGATGGTGCAGAGGCAGCACCACTGAGCAGGGACTCCACAGTCCCCTTAGCACGCCTTTAAAGCAAAGCCCATGGGTAACAACACCGTCAAAGCACCTGACTGCAGGCCCTTGACTCTCTTGACGATAAGAACTCTAGAAGCTCTGACACAGTATGTCCCTGGAGTCTGTTTCTACGTTGCCAGGAGGCAGAATTCTGTTAGGGAACATGCTTTGGCTGTCATTGGCTCAGACCTCAGAAAACAGGTAAAAACAGGCCCAAGCTGTCTTGAAATGTCGATTAGGCAAAGTTAGAAAAGCAGAGTGGTGAAAAGTGAGCCAGGGCAATGTGAAACAGAAGACTAGCAATCCGTTTCTCTTTTCTCTGATTCCATAACCTACAAGTGCCCATAGTAGAGCTGTCAATCTAGTGATATTTATATCTGGCTGCCCACTTGTTCTTTGGTTTAAAGTTTCTGTTTATTCCCAGAAGGCCCTCTATCTATTTAGATTGTAAAAGCCTAAAAATCCCAAATGATGTCTATAGAGTTTCTTACACAGGAAACGTATAATCTGACTTCTGATGTTCAAAACTTGTTTCATGCTGCTAATAATGAGAAGACCTTCTAAAATACTTTGCTACTATCTTTAATGTAGTATATACCATATAACACATACATTCTATGTAGGTTTTTATCACGCCATCAGGTTGATCATTTGGCAAACTCAGAAAGTATATGTCACTAAATCATTTGGATACCAAAACCCTGTGGAATTTGTGCATGTGGCCATAAATTTGACAACTGTAGACAACTGATGGATGAATTAGCATCGTTAAAGCTTCTGATGACAGAAAGTCTAGAATTGAATTATTGTTCCAAGAGTTTCTATTTCTAGCATGGAATGTTTTTCTAGGCTTGAAGCAAAGTCCCTGGAATTGATCTGACATAAAGTGAGTCCCTCACCACCCTCCACTGTCCCAACATTTTGACCTTTTCATGTCTATGCCCACAAAGGTAAGGTAGAGACAGGTTGGAGACAGCTGATGGGAAAGATAGGTTGGGCCCGGGGTATGAGCACTGGAGCATAGTTCAAAGCCCAATGAAGGCTGCAATGCCCCAGAGGAATTCCACTGTGCAAATATAGATCATTTTCAGAAACAGGATTGAGCAAGGGGTTCAGTGACATTCAATCGATCATTGTAAGCAGGGCTTGGAAAGAAAACTGGTAAATGGAGGGAAAATAGGAACATCTGACTGTCGCAAAATAAAGGTAACCATCAATATTGGAAATACTGTGCCATGAACATACTTTTCTCTGAAAACTGACCACCAACAATTAATACCAGGTGATTCCTCCACCCTGATAACTCCCAACACTTGTTACTCTCTTTCTCTATTAGATCTTCTTCCTGAACATCTTAAATTTTCATCTAAGACTGTATAGTTTGAGGAGCTCACATATTTTTGGCAGAACTTTAATTTATGTTCTTTAGATATCCTAGTGTCCTTCAAACAAAGTTCATGTTTCACTCAAGCTTGATAAACTTCTTTTTAAGAATTACTTAATTTTATTTTTATTCATTCATTCATTTATTTGACCAGAGAGAGACAGAGAGGGAGAAAGAAAAAGAGAGAAAGCAAGCTGCCAGGTCCCGTACTTGAACTGCGATTGACCACGTGAGATTCCAGCACTGTAATCACCATGCTAGTAGGATAAACTTTCGCCTGCACTTTGTAGCTAATCATGACATAAAAAATAAAGTCAAAGTCAATGGGAGTATAAAAGAATATGTTACACAGTTCATTGTTTACACAGTTTCCTTATCCTATAGATAAAATTGTAACTCCTAAAACTAGCTAAAACCATGCAGCATAATACATCCAAGTGGAAAACTTTTATTCTTTTTCTCCATTAAAAATTTAATAAAATAATGGCACCAAACTACTTGGAGGTTCACTTTATCAAGCTGCGCAGTACAGGAAAAACAGTGGAGAAAGATATTCATAAAAAATATGACAATTATTTGCAAAACATAAGCTCATGTCTACCAAATCCTTAAAAGCATCACGTTTATGTCACATATTAAGTCAGATTACCAGGCCCTGTTTCAGTGATTTTGGTATTGTGAGAACAAATTGACACTTGTGCTTAAATTTCTGATCCCATTCTAAACATCACAATATGAGATGAAAATGATTTCTACAAACGTGAAGATAATGCTAACAGCTTTGTTTTAACTTTTGGTTCTCCTTTAAAATTGTTATTATTGTGCAATCACTGTTAATGAACTAAGGAACCATTTCACTAAAAGCAATCAATATATTTGAAGCACCTTTTTTTCTCTGAAATAGCAAGAGCAGACTACATAGAGCTTGTTTAACATTAAAGTTTTATGCAAAACTAACAAACAAGAAAAAAGCTTAAAAACAAATTGACATTTTAAATTATATATCTCCTTTGCTTCTAGTATCTATATATTTCTAAACAAGGGGGAGAAGTATCTGCTTAGATAGAAGCGGATACTTCTGCTTGGTAATGGGAATTTTGATTTAAGTGCCATGTAATGTTTGTTTTCAAGCCATCAAACAAACCACAGCAGTTAACCCAATGGACAGAATATACATCATCATGGCTACTTCGCAGTATCTACCAGACCATGAGAGGTTTCTCAGCTCTGCAGAGCTTGAAGTTTGAATTATTTAAATAAAATGTGCTTAATAAATAACATTAAATTAATAATAGCTAATGTACACCACTTAGTTAAATTTAGCAAAAAGCTACTAGAACTGTATTAAACGATAAAGAGATAAATTTGTGTGTGTGTGTGTGTGTGTGTGTGTGTGTGTATCTTTAAAGCCAAATATCAAAGCTTTATATACATAACTGAGAGAATTAGATACCTTAAATAATGAATTCACTGACACTGGGAACCTAGAAATTTGACTTCTGATCCAATGTAGTTTCCCCATTTTATTTTGCTTTACATTTAACTGTAACTTGAAAATTATAGACATTAAAATTGTATCCTCTAACAAGTTATTTTGAGTATGTGTC